TCTTCTTATACCCAGTTTAAATCTCCCCTCTTGTAGTTTGAAACTGTTCTCCCTTGTCCAGTTCAAGAGGCTATCAGAGTGTTTTCCCACTTCATACGCACCAACCATGTTGGTTTACTATTCTGTTAGTAGTTGAGAATTTAACAAGGTTGCCACCAGAAGGGAAGGACCCTCTGTCCAGAGGGCAGCCTGCACTGGCCCAGCTGCTGGCCCACTCCCTTCCCAGTCCCCAGGCAGTACAGGGATGACCCAAAGCTCCGAACACCCAGAAGAAGAATCAATCTGGTCAGCATGTCCTTACTGTTGGCCACTGGAAACCAACAGGAGATGAAACCACAATGCTGACACAACTTAACACCAAAAGAACGTAACTCCGGAGAATGACAGCTAAAAACCAGGCAATTAAAGACAAAAATGAGTCAGTTTTGCAGTAAAACAAGTCAATTACCTCTAGAATTGCATGAGCTACCTCCTTAGCACTGGAGGGGAATACTGCTGATTTTCAGCCTTATCTGATGCAGTTGCTCATTCAGACTGCATTAGCAAAGCTGCAGTCAGCAGAAACAATTAACCTAGTTTTCCTCCATGAGCAAACACAAGTTTAGATCATACAACAGAAATACAATTACAGTGATGGTTGCTTCTGCTCGCCCACACAAAACTGGAAGTGTTGACAAAGCCGATACATGTCAGGCTGCACAGGATAGACAAGCAAGCAAATGGGAGGAGATGGCAGAACAAATGCAGAGCTCTGCACAAAAGCTGGAGATAGAGCCTGCAGCCAGGCAGGGTACTGTGCGTGTTGATACAGAAGAGGCTTTAACTGAGATGTTCTCCCATGCTCCCTATTGCATCTCAAGATGAAGAAGCAAAGCTACAGGGACACATGCTGCCTGGAACCTTCTGGCAGAGGAGCACAGGCATGGCCAACTCCCCCTGTTTACTTGTCGTATTTCACAGAAAGCCAAACAACTGTTTCGTTTACTTTTTCAAGCCTTTTTCTTCCTTTTGACATCAGAGAAGAACAAACCATATGCCAAGAAGAATCACATGAATCTGAAACATATGAGAAACTGATTAACAGCAGCACGTCATAACAATTCAATTGAAATAATTGGAGGCCAAGATTTCCCAGCAGGATGCTGTGGTAACTAGCAAGAAACTGAAGTAAGCTGGGCAGGCAGCCAATTTTATCTTAAAGAGCAACTGCTGAGTGGGAAGAGCTCCAGCTCTCCAGATCTGCCTCTCACCTCCAGGCTATGCTGCCTCTCTCCTGATGCCTGTCTGATACGAAGTCTTTTACAGTTTCCCTTTCCTGATTTGTCCGTTCAAAGAAGCAGAGATCAATAGGACGTGAACACATAAAACCAATAATTACTGTAAAACGATTCATTTAAGGCTGGTGGAAAACTATTTTCTACAAATTGTGTGTGTTTTAATTTAGAAGCCATAGAGAAAAATGTTCTCTTCTACAAATCCTAAGCAAAATAGAATCCAACTTTAAAAGCTGAAGTTACTTCGTTAAAATTACTTTGAGTGTATTCTTTTATCATGTTTTGGTAGCTTTGATCACTGATCCTTTTTAGGCTAAGTTATCCAGAACTATCTTAGCAGCTCTAAGTGTGAACAGGGTCAATGGATCCATCCTACACAGCAAACTCTTGCAGAAAGCAATGGGAGAAGGTCAATAGAAAACGCAAAGTGAACATGCTTGTAAAAGAGGCACAAGTAAAGGCTTCCTCACATGCATCACTCATCTTTGTGAAGACTTAGTGAATATCATTTAACCAACAACAGTAACTCCCATGACCCAACTAAGCACACCTATCACAAACCCCACGTCCCGCTGACATCAGGTACAGTGCCTCATGATGGGCACTCAAGGAGAACAGCCAGATGGGATGTGTGTGTGCCTGGGGAGGAAAGCCAGCACCACCTCCCTGGAGATGACACATTCCAGTAACAGTTACTGGAAGGAGCTGTTTGCAGCCCTGCTGCTTAGCCTACAGCCAGACAGGCTTGATGGAGCAGTGGGGAATAAGGAACATTAGTGCATTTGTTGACACTTTAATACACCGGGTTCCTGCTACTGAGCATTTATTTTACTTCTGTTACAATTAAAGGTGTCTGTGACACTGATGTGACACTTTCACTCCTCCGCCCCTGGCTGGAAACCCGCTGCTGCTCACTCTGCCCTTCCTCAACGCCTGGCAGCAGCGGGTGAGCAGGAGGATGTGGTCTCAGCACCCAGCCCAACTCTGATACCACGGGAGGGGCTCCCAGCAACCGACAGAAAAGGGAAACGGCTACCAACTGCCGCAGCCTCAGTCAGTCACACTTCTGCATGTGTGTGTCAGCAGCTGTACTGTTCCCTTCAGCGGGGCTGCTTGCAGGTTTGTTTGTAAGCCAGCTCCTCTCTGAAAGCTGGAGCTGTGCTGGAGAGTCCTTCACTATGCTCAGTGGTCTGTCTTCCCTTTAAAAGAAAGAAACCGAGAGCCAGGGAGATGGTCAGTTCAAGCATCAAGGACTGCAGGAACTCCACACTGCACTGTTTTCAAGCTCTGTGTGACTAATGGTGTTTGGGATGCCCATGCAGTTTTGTAATGTCCTCTCTGCCTTTTCCAAGAGCTTTCACTTTGTAATTTCACAACACCCATCCCAAAGTAAAACTGTGGAAACTGAATGATTTGAGGGGATATTTTTACATAGGAGCATAAAGCACCAGAGGAGAAGTCAGGTAACATGGGAACAAGAGTGCAACCAAACTTTAGGAAAGGACAGTGAGTAGACAAAAGACAGAAAATGAATACAGGAAAAGGTTACAGATGAAGAGTGTCACATTTTAGGAGGGACCCTGGCTTCCTGTGAGGCCAGGCAGCTGGCACCAGGAGTACAGGACATGTCTGTCAGCCCGGCACTCAGCACAACATCGGTCTGACCTGGGCGGGACAGGAGAATACTTCTACATGACGTGATGAATACTGTGCTGCAGGCTTCGCCCAGTGATGCGTGCACAAGGCTCTGAAACAGCCTGCCACAGAGCAGATGGGACTCATCTCTCTCCATGCCGCTGACCACACGTACCCTGATGTCACATACAGAGGGAAATTCCTTTCTCACGAGAGCTGGGAGCACGCAGCGCTTCCAGGAAGCAGAAAACAGACTGCGCTACAAGAAGCGAACCGCTAACAGACCCATTCATAGCCGCACCACCCCGAAGCAAAGGAATACGGCTACATCCGAGCAGCCGCTCCCCCAGCGCGGCGTCCCCGTCCCTCCCCGCAGGCCGGGAGCGGGAGGCCGCAGCGCCCGGCCCAGGAGAGGCCCGGCCCCGGGCTCGGAGCGGCGGCACTCTGCCTCTCGGAGCGGGCCCCGGCAGCCCCGCGCTCCCCGGCCCCGAGATGCCCCGGAGTTCCCCACGATCCCTCCCCGCCGCTTACCGGCTGTGAGCACGTGAAGGGCGGCGCGGCGCCCAGCAGCAAGCGCAGCGCGGCGGCCGCGGGCGGCACGGGAAAGACAAGAAGGAACAGCAGCGGAGGAGACAAGCCCGGCCGGCCCGCGCCCGCCATAGCCCTGCCGCCGCCACGACCTCGGGGCTTCCGGGCTCCGACCTGAGCGCCGGGCGGGGCCGACCCGCACCTGAGGAGGGGCTGCGCGGCGGGGCGGGACGCTGGGCGCGGCGGGGCTCCGCGCTGCTCGCTGGGGGTGCGGCCCAGGGGAGGGCGGGGCGGAGGGTTGCTCACTCCTCTGCGGCCCGGGGGTTTGCGTGTGGGGTGCCGTCCTCCGGCTTCAGGAGAACGTCGTGAGCAGAGCGTGTGCCAATAAAGTGTCGTAGTTATAGGCAGCGTTCCGACACAGGGTTCTGTACGCAGGTGTTCTGGGCAGTTCTGCGTGCAGTCGGCTCACAGGAAGCTGTGCAGTGCTTGCTGTCGGCGGTCTCACGGGTTTCACCCAGTTTCACACCTTTCTTTGCTCTGCGGTACACCCACAAGTGGTTTTCACCACCAAAGCCTCCACGTGGCTCTCACACAAAGCCCAGGCGCCGTGAGCCGGCAGCAGAGCAGAGCTGCACGCCTTGCTCCACCGACTGCCATGGGCATAGAATCACAGAATCATTAAGGTTGGAAAAGGCCACTGAGATCATCTAGTCCAACCATCAAACCAAGGCCATGGTGCGTCCTTGGGCCCCGTGGTGGCAAAAGACTGCTCAAAAGCCTGAGCCTGGAGGCACAGGAGCTCTGGTGGTCCTGTCCTGTCCTCCATCTTTTCAAGCTGGTGGTGGCATCCACGGCTTGAGATCACCTCCTGGCTCCAACTGGTGTGTAACACCACTACCTAACAACAAACCTTGAGGTTCCAGCATTTGTGTGCAAGTTGGGGAATATAAATATACACACAATAAAATAAAAAAAAAGGATGCTTTTTTCTTGCGCTTGATCTTATGCCAGTGTACTTTGGCTAAGCACTCTGTGGCACTCTATGCAGCACTCAGCTGGCGTTACAACATAATGGCTTGATAACTGTGTTGTTAGAACAAATTTGTTTGATTGAAAAGTAAATGTGTAATGCGTTACTTATTATCGTCCCATTAGCTTCATGGCTTATGTAGAGACTAATTACACGGTGTTTAGGCTGCAGGCATTCCTCTTTTGATGCATACACTTAATAAAAAAGAATCCTGTGGAGAAAATGGTAACTATTTGGTTATGAATGAGTCATACTTTGGGCATCATTACAAGGTAGCATTTCTGTGATGATAACAGTACACAAGTGACAGGGTTTTCTAAGTTAATGTTTAACAGGACAGCCTGTTACTATCCCAGGCTGTTCTGCAGCCTCTTATGCACATGAGAGACTCCACAAACCTAGAGGGGGCTGCCAGTGGGAAGTAAGGGGCTGCAGGATGCCCTCGTAGTTTGCAGCCACTTCTGAGCAAAGGGAGCAATGTCAAAGCAGTTCTCGTAACATTTACGATATTAAACAAATCTGGACATTGTTTAGAAATTTATTAGCAATTTTAAAATAACATCATTCCTTAGATAAAAATGCAATCTTACAGGAATATACATTTGTCCCACACAGAGATGACCCTATAGCTCGCTTGCGGGCCATTCACTCTAACTTTTCTCTGTTGACTTTAAAACGTGCGAGAGGGCAAGACGGACTCTGGCACTGATGACAGGCTTACATGATGGTTACAAACTGTACAGCATTATTTACAAAAGCATTTCTGTGGCTTCATGAAAACTAGATATAAAATTGTGGAAGGAGGTAAAGACTTGAGAGAGGGAAGGACTTGGGCGGAGGTGAGAGGAGGGCTGGGGTGGGCAGAGAGCACAGGGAAGAGTGGGAGAGGAGGTGACTGACTGGTTTATACTTGAGAGAGGTCATTTTACAGCTCTGGGCAATTCAAATGAAGGCAAAACACTTATATTTATCAACAATTATAGCTGATGATCAGAGCAGGAAATGATGCTTCAGGGCCTGAACTGAAGAGGTGTTGAGGAACCCCATCTTCCCTGAAGTCACCGGGAAACACAGGTATGCAGTACCTTGCAGGCCAGACCGCGCCATACAGATACAGGCCAGGTACAGCAACCCCATGCCTTAAGGAGTTTTGATCCTGCAGTGCTCAGTCATTAGTGTGGATATGAAGTCAGACTGAGTGAGAGATCAGCTCCTAGATTACATTTACACTTCCCAAACTGGACCAGATTCCAACCACTTCTTGCCAGAATTTACCCAAAGCGACTTATCCCTTGATTTACCAAGTGGCAATTGTTTGGAGGGAGACTCCGTCATTCGGAATTGATTTTTAAGGCAGTTTTAAAAGTATCTCCCCGTTTTTGTGTGTGATGCAGCAGTGTTGTCAAAGAGATATTTACAATCTGACTCCTCCTCCTCTGAAATCTTCCCACATTCAAATTGTCAAGACTGAATAATCCTGAACCAATCACTCCAATGAGCAATCGTGACGTTGATGATGTTTAGGTAGTATTGGTTACCAGTCTACCTGCTTAGGATGGGAATGGACTGGCTTAGGATGCTTAAATATTAGGAAAAAAAAAAATTAAAGGCATTTCAGCCTTTTTGAGGAAGAGTTTGTATTTTGCCTGACTGGACAAAATGCAAAACAAAACAGAAAAACACAGGTATTTTATCCTCAGAATGATGAGACTAATGAATGGTGTCTGTCTTGAATAGGAAAATGCTTTGGAAAGGAGTTATTTGAAAACTGTTAGAAAAAAAAACCAAAACAATGTGTGGTGGGACCATGCCTGCTCTTGCTGCTACTCCGAGGGCCTGGGTTGCAGGCACTAGGCCTGTGCTAGGTGAGGGCTGGGCAGGTGCCAGGGCTCCAGGCCATAGGAGCAGGGCTTGCCCGCATGGCGTGGGGTGGGAGAACAGCATGGGAGCATGGAGATGGGCTCCCAGTCATGCCTTGCTAAGCCCTTGGTAATGCTAAAGAAGATTTCCTCCTTACTTCAGCCGTTGGTGCTGCTCAGCCTGGTTAGCCCTTCAGAAAGGGACTTGGTTAAGTTGCCTAACTGTCCCCTGCCGCCTGAGGCCCACACAGCATACACGAGGCTGGCAGACATGGCACCAGTCAAGGGGAAATGTTTTGCCCCTCCTGGAACTTTTTCTGTTGCAGGCTGGGCAGAATACTGCAGGGTATCTCAGGTGGCAGAGGATGCATACATTTTGGCAGCTCAATCAAAGTCTGTGCCCTTAAAGGCCTGTTTTAAGATCATGTGTTAACAGTTAAGTCACATTCCCTGCATAGGGTGGGGGAAGGATGGAAGATTGAACTAGAACACTAAATTTCGTTTCAGAAAAGGATTTTTCTACTCCAGTGTGATGCTGCTACTCTGATAGCAATCATAGCTTTGTTTTCAGTATAGGATTTCTTTATGCTGTGTTTCTGCCTTCAGACATACCTTCTCAGGCACTGGAGCAGCAAGGCCACAATTCAGCTGTCCAGAAACAAAGCAAGAGAGAGCAAAGCCCCATAGACTGAGATCCCATCGGAAACCTTTTGGATCCCTGGGCTTGCTAACCCAGGATGAGACTTTTAACATCTTCGCAACATTCAAAAGATGAGAAAAGAAATCCTATGCAGCTATTGAAATTTGCATTTCTTACTCTTTGGAGAAGAAAATAAATGTAGGAAAAATATTATTAAATTCTTTCTAGACTCAGTTCTGTTTTCCACATTTTGTACATTAGTAAAACCTCCCTGGCCACTAGTGAACTCTATCCTTGTGTTAGCAAGATGGGAACAGGGACTTCTGATGGCCAGGAATATATATATATTTTTAATACACGCTACAAATTAATTATTGGAACTGACAAAATCTCACCACTGCCAGAAGCCTCTGAATGGATTCTATTTACTTTGTTTCCCACTCACTGTTCCTCTTCCCACCCTATCCTGGGACAGTCTCAACTGGCCCATACCATAGGATGCTCAGTTCTGACTCAGTGGGGATGCCCCACTTCAGCTTTCTGGGCCCATGGGTTGGAGTTTCTCACCTAGACGTATGAAGCAAGGCCTCCAGCTTCACCTTCAACACAAGTCCGCAACCCCACGGGCTTGTGGTGCTGTCACCTTGTGCGATTGTGTCTGTGTGCAAACGCGCATACATTTCATACACCAATCTGAAACTATCAGGCAGAAAAGACACAGGAGCCTGGCTGAGACCCATACAACTGTTATATTGGCGTCAGTCTAAAGAAAGCAATGATACATTGCTTTGGAAATTATCAAGAAATGTAAAAAATGCATTTGCCCTTTTTTTGTTGTTGTTGTTTTCATCACCGTTGTCATAGTCACTGGGGGCAGGGTTCTGAGTCAGAAAACAAAGCAGAAATAGATGCGGTTCTGTACATGGCACCTCTCTGGCTGTCCTTCCGTGCTGGGTGAAGTGGGCAGGGTAACAAACCAGGCTGGACCCTGCAGCAGCAGCAGCATCCACGCCATCATCATCCGTATGTCCAGCTGAAGATACAGGTGATGCAAAAAAGGTCTGTGGATAGTGAAACTCCAGCTCTGGACCACGAGTTCCGCTTGCTTCCCTGTCACATCAGCCACACAGAATAAGGAAGAAAAAAGAAATGCACCCGGTGTGGCTGGCCCAGTACTGCCTGGAGTAATGAGCAGGAGTGGTAAAGGAATGAGGTTTGCTGTTTTGTAAGAAATGTCTTCAGTCTGCAGTGTACTCCTGCAAGTCAGAGATGCTCAGTGGCAAACAGCAGATCATTTTCCCCTTTCTTTCCTTCCTTCCATGCCACTCCTTGGCCATTGGTTCCTCCATGGCTTCCATCCACAGCACAGTGACTATACCCATCATCTACTCCCATACACTGGGAGAGGAAGGACCCCCATGTACTATGCCTGCCCCACTTCCATCACCCTCAGACTCCACCTCACCTGAAGGAGGCAGTAGCTCTTTGCTCAGACCTGTCACAATGTGCACGTTGCGTGTACCTCAAATAGAAACAAACAAAAAAGCCACCCTCCCCAGAAAGAGAAAATTGCACAGCTGGCACCAGCAATGCCTATATTGAACACGTGCCCCTCAGACAGCACAAGGCATCTGCATGCTCTGCTAGCCATGCACTTCTCACTCTGCAGGACCTAACCCATTTTCCAGCAGGCTGCGGGGATTTCCTGGCTACTGTCAGCTGTGACCCACGGGGGAGCCACAGCTTCACCAGCAGTGTGCAGGGCACAGTCCTTTCCATTCTTCTCCTTCCCTTCAGGAAAAGCCCTAAAAGATGGCAAGTGCTGGCAGACATCCAGAATGCCCCTTGCCTCTGCTGCTCTAGGCCAGTACTTTATTAATCAGGAGCAAGGAGCACCTCTGTCTCTTCCTGGGAGGGCCAGGGGGACTTTCTACTGGAGGAAAATGAGATAGGGAGCCCCTTTGCTACTTTCGTTTTCAGAAAACCCCCAGCACAGCATTATTTACTTTCAAGTAGCTTTGGAGCACTGCAGAGCTACCAATAGCAAACTCACAAAGGGAGAACTGCTCGCATGCCAATCTCGGTACAGACAAGAGGGATGGAAAAAATGGGGCTGACAGACTTCAGGTGGTTGCTTTCTCCAAGGACTTGGATTGGGACTCTGATGCCAGATGGTTGCTTAAGTGGGTTCACATTTCCCCAGTTCAAAAGAATTTGTTGGCAAGGCATCTTGAGCTGCTACTGGCCAGTTCAAAATAACAAGGAAAAAGTGCAATTTCAAAAATATCTTCCGCTATTTCTGCTTAATGGCCCCAGCAGGGTCAAGAAGTAAACCCAAGGGCGTTACAAAAATACATAATAAATGATGTACTCAAACATCTGTGAAGCTCAAGACTGGAATGAAAGTTTAGCTCTGAGTCAGATCACACCTCTGAGCACTCATCTGCAAGTTTGTGAAACATCTTGAAAAGGGAGAAAACCAGCAGCAGTCTAGACAGAAGTCAGACACATAAAATCTAATAATATCTCCCTGGTTTCTCAGCCTCTGCCACAGGTTAGGGCCGTGTATCATCGTGGGGTGAATCAGCAGAGGTTCACACTCAGCAGCAGGGAAATATGGCTGGGACATGCTGCACCACTGGATGTTTTGTGACTTAGAGCATGTCCCATATGCTAAGGTCTGGGAACACGCATGGAAACACACACAAGTCACCAAACATCTGTGTCATGACCAGACCACAGCAATTTTCCTAAGCAACAATCCAGAGCTCTGTCCCTCACTTACCCAGTGCTTTCAGTCCAGTGTTAGGCACATTTATTTTGCAAACAATTCTGCCATTTGCATTTGCTTATTCCAGGATCCTGTTACAACGATCAGGATGAACTATCTAACCTCAATCTGCAAGCAGGTGCTTTCCCCCTCCCTGAATTGCTGGTGCCAGCTGAAGACATGGGATGGATCTTCCACATGGGCTTGGGGATCTCGCCACCCTCTTGGTGGAAGAGACCTTTGGAGAGGCTGAGCAAAAGGAAAGAGAACAAAGCCTGAAAAAAAATCCCGGCCTCGGGAAGAAAGGTACTCTACCAACAAAGTCATCGTGCATGTTTAAAGAGGTGAGGAGGAAGGGTAATGAACACAAGATATGCAAAATCAGTAACGTTCGACCTGTCAGTGGATTGCAGAATAGTTACTTACACCAGGTACACTTTGTTCATTGTACAAATTAAAAAAGGAAAAAAAATAGTACCCCTGTCCCCGACCACACGTAGAAAAGCACTTAAAAGTTCAAAGGTAAAGCTTGGCACATTCCAAATACGAAATGATTCACTTGACATGCAGCAAAATATACAAGAAGTGACTCTTTTTTTCTTTTTTTTTTCTTCTTAAACAAACTTAATTCGATTTGATATATTTGCTTGGCACAATTGCAATTCCTTTTAAAAAAATATTTGAAAAATACCGAAACTGACCTGAATTCAAGTATAACAGTTTCTTCAACAGAAACATCATCAATGCAATAAAACATCACACGGAATATATTGAAGCGTAACGCCTTCTGCTTGGTTGTCCCCCCACCCCGTTATTTGTTTTTTTTTTTTTTCCTATACAGTTTTAATGCCAACACGACTTACGATTGTATTTTAAAATTAATATTATTGCATTGTTTTTGCATATCTTGTGGAACAGAAGATGCAAAGAGTTACTGATTCCCCTCCCGACAGCGGGCGCTGCTTCGGCGCTGCATCCCAACAGCCCCATTGGTCCCTGGGACGTGTGGGGCTGTGCCAAGCGCACTGCCCGCTGCCATTATATGATAACACAACAACAAAAAAAGGAGGTTCTGCTCGCTTGCAAATCAAATGACAGAGTCTCGGTGTACATAGTGATCGGTAAAACTCGCCTACAGCGTTATGCTTCTACCAAATGCCAATGGAGAAAAGAACCTGGCTTAAATAATACAACATGGTCAAACCAACGTAACATCTGCAAAGGTGAAAATAAACCCAAACAAAAAGGTAGGTGGTTACAGAACCTTGTAAACACTCCCTTCTCCCTCTGAAAAATTATAATAAAAATAAAATAGTCAAAATAAAAACCGCAACATGCTCTCAAGGAAACACCGAACTGCGGGACAAGGAGAGACCCGTGCCTGGCCACTCCCCACTCTCCCACTGGCTGGCGGGGCCGGCTGTCTGAGCTCCAATTGGTTGGCAGGTGACTTGCCCGCACTCGGGTTGGCTGGTGAGCAGCCCTCGAGCTCTGATTGGCCAACAGCAGGAGCCGTTGCAGTCCCCGCGCTCCCCTTTTGGCGGCGCTGCGTCCTCCGGGCCCGGGTGGCGGGGCCGGGGTGGCTGGGGGCGGTGAGGCTCGGACAGAACATGTGCAAAATGATTTTTACAAGCAAAGTTGAAGGATGCCCGCTGGAGGCTGGGCGCGTTTGGCTGGGCCGCCCTTGGGAGGCAGTCGTCGTGCCTTGTGCAGGGACTGGAAAAAGAGGGAGCTGGCTCTCCTCCTGGGTGCCGCGCTCTTTCCAGGCGGCCGCGTGCCGGGGTCCTATCCGCTCCTGACAAGCTCTCTGCCACCACCCAACTCTGCGACTCGTCCCAACAGAAATGAATGAAGAACGCTGTTCCGGTTACTCCAGGTCACGAGAACAGTGAGGCACTTCTGAAACAAACCCATTAGGAACATTGAAACAAATAAAAAACCAGCATCGCTTCCAGCCCTGGCAACTACAGGCTGCTGATATAAATCCTGCTGTCCTTCAGCTCCTCCTGACTTTTTCTACAATCCGGGTTCTGCACCTCTTCCTCTTCCTCGCCTGCACTGTCCTGCCCTGCGTCCCTGCAGTTAACAAAAGGCAACAGGTTGCCATTGGGGCTCTGCTTGCTGTTACCATTGAGAATGTTGTCTGCTGCGTTTTCCATCTCTTCTATTGTCATGTCGCAGGCATCAGCGAGTTCCTGGGTCGTGACCTCAATGAACTTTGGATCTTGAGCAAACTGCATCAGTCCTTCCGAAATCAATACCTTTAGGAGGAGGCAGGGAACCAGAGACAAAAGCAGACGTTAGCACCTTGAGTTGCCAGCTCTACTGCACCCCTACCGCATCTCCCTGTTGGCCATGCTGGCTATGGTGGCCCCTCTCCTCCCATTCATGCTGCTGGCCCTTGCTTTGCTATGCCCTCCCAAGGGCCATGTTCCTACAATGGCCTCCACACCTCCCATGTCCCCACGCCACCGTGGCCTTACCGCTTCGACTAGGCTGCTGGCACTGCCGTGGAACTGCCTGCTGCTCCCCGCTGTCTGGCTGGGGACGGTGAGGGACACCGGCCTTGCTCTTCTTGGGCTGCCACAGTCAGAGCTGTCGGGGAACCTGGAGCTGCAGTGCACGGAGGGGAAGCTGCTGTTGAGCTTCTCGCTGGACTCAGCCCCCTCAAGGCGCAGCGTCGGGATGGGCTGCTGTGGCCAGCCTCGGCTGCAGGGTGTAGCAGGCGGTGTGGCGCACAGTCGGGAGAATGTGGTGGGGGAATGGCTTCGCTGGAGGAGGGGGCTCAGGCCGGCCACCGCCAATGCCTGCAGAGAGAGGGGGGGGCACATGGAGTGAGGGCTCACTCAAACTGCAGTTCTGGGATGGCAGAGCACTGGATGAACTACCCACAAGAGGCCCAAAGTGCCTTGAGGCTTGGACCAGATGATCTTAGTGGTCTTTTCCAACCATAATGACCTTTATGAGGCTTGTGAAATAGCTGCCAGCTCTTGCAATGGTTGGGATGTTTCTCCAAACTCATTTTGCAAGTTTTCCTTTAAGTGGTGTAGTTTGCACCAGTGCCAAGCACCAGACTGAGAGCTCTCAAGGCTGAGCTTCTTTTCTGTTGACAGGAGGGATAAGCCCTATGCCCCACAGCCCTGCCAGAAACACCACCTCTTCTCCACTGGCTGTGACAGAGCTTCGTTTTCCCACACTGTCACCACCCATACTGCTAGGTTTTACTGCCAATTGCTGTGCTTTTTCTAAGCATCCATTGTAGAACCTGAACGGATACCACATGTGAATTTTAGGTGTGTCAGCAGATGGCAAAAATTATAAAACCACCACTGGATTTTAAGGCATCTGCTGTGGGTGGGAGGATCAATATCTGATGATTGTACTTTGAGCCTTCCAGCCCTTCCCACAATTACATTCACAGCCCCTGAGTCATTCAGTTTCCTTTTGATAACAAATTTCTCAAGAAGCCCCTTGCTGCTCAGGGCTGATCTGAGCCTTATTCATGGTGGATGCTGCTTGTTCCATAAGCAATGCCATCAGAATCAGCAGCTCATCTCATGCCATGCAGCTCACTGCTGTCTAATATGAACAAAGGAATAAACGCATAGAAAATACAAAATGTGGCTCTTGATCAGGTTGGAGTTTGTCTCTGCAACTTCAGCTCAAAGCAATGGATTTAGTCCAAGCTTATTGGGCAGAAGCACACCAGAAAGCTCCTGCCTCTTGGATACCTGCTTGACAATGATCTCTGGAGGATAAGACTTAGACAAGGCTTATTACACTTGCCCTTTGGAGATGCTGTTTCTCTCTGTTGACCACAGTGGGACCAAACTGACTGGTTTAAACTGGACAGCTGACTTTTAGATATCTGAAGTTAAGTCAAGCTCAATCGATCTGCCACTGAAATTCCAGTGAACTGCTGTCAGTGTGCTGTGCTGCTGATTTCAGTTGCAGGCAAACAAAAGAATCAATTATTGGTCACCTACAAAGTTTACCATGATTTTCTCAAGAATTACATGCCAGAGTCCTATCAAATATTATCAAGGAAGAAAGACCTTAAAAATTAACCGTGTAAGTCACAGCCTGCAGGCTGTGATGGTATCAGCATTCCTTTACACTGTGGTGACTTTAAGGAGAGCCCTAGATCTGTCAGGCAGAACAACAGAATCAGATTTTCAGCTTAGCAGAAACACATACAAGGTGTTTATCCAAAATGTAAGGTACCATGGAGGTTGAAATAAACTCTTAGGGATTACTTCAGTATTTCATGAGAATCCTCCTTCAAGCACTAAGGAACAACTGAATCCATTGTGCTTAGCAGAGGCACATTTCCACTTCATATTCTCATTTTAAGCACTTTTGGAGGCAGATGACTTTGCAAAGTACTAACACTGCTGGGTGTTGCCAGCTGGAAGCCAGATGACAATTTCATGATGACCCTGTAGTCTGGCTGGGGGATGCTGAGGTGTGTAGAGCTCTGTCCCTCTAGGTTTGGAACTGTATGATGGGATGAGGAAAGACAAAGAAGCTCCATCCTCTTTGTACAGGTTGAAAGGAGGTGATTCTGCTGGCCAGGCAGGGTGAGAGGGAAGGAGGCATGTGCGCTCTCTGCCTGCAGGACTGACACTGCTATGGGGAACGCAGGGAAACGTTCTCTGTACCCTGTCCCGACAGATGCACTGCCACAGCTGTAGCTTTCTGCAGACCACTGCTTTCTGGAGCTTGATCCTTACAGTATAACTGGCTGCTGCTGCTGTCAAGAATGGAAGTGAGAAAGCACAGAGCATCCCAGGTGCACTCACCTCTCACTCCTACAGCTGTTGTGACTTCTCACTCCTCCCTTCCCTGCCACGTGGCATTTTCTGCTCCTATGCCCCTGTTTTGCCTTGCCTTGGGGGAGTATGTGGAATGGGATGCCCCACATAGCAGGACTGGTGCTGCCACTGGCACCTGTTTCTTTTATGGTGACAGTGATGCCATCAAAATAAAAGACACAGACCTACTCTGGACTATGACAGCTGGCTAACCGTCTAGATACGTGCCTAAGCATACATTGGTAGGCTGCTGAATGCAGTTATAAAGGTCTTAAGAGGCTGATAAATTACGTATAATCGGTTTATCTTTTAAATGATTAATTACCTTTACTGGCTAGCTTTCATTAATATGAAGTTAGACTTGGCACATTTTATTCATATGTGCACTATTGTCCAAGCCAGTGCAACTGCTCAACAGAGTGCAATTTGGGTAGTTATTTTTATCTGATAGTTAGGTTTCTATTCTGCTCTTTACTGAACATCATAACTCTGATGACTCTAAAGAATATGCCCCTGTAACACTCTTCTGGGAATTATAAAAATCCTGAAACAAGTGGGATGACAGCTACATTTTCTAAAAACTGGACCTATAATATGGGTGAGAAATTATCTCAAAACGTGTATAAAGGTTGGCTGGGATGCAATGGGATAGCATTGTACATGGTAGATTCTCAGTTGCGTTGCTGGACCTTTTGTGGTTATGAAATACTTACCTGATGATGTACCATTTGTAAAGGCAGAACTGTCTTCTGCGAGACATCTACGCCCTGGTTTTTCTGTCTTTTCAGACACTCTAAGTGAAAAGATGCTCGTCGACCTGAAACACCAATCACAAACAACTGTGTCCATCACTCATATTATACTATGGATAATCTGAGTTCAATTTCATTTATTTCAGTCCCTCTGGAGAGACAGCCAAGACACCCACAGTTAAGCTCTGTCTGCTTTCCCTCTACACCTTACCCTTTCCCAGATACTAGTATTTGTGTTGCTGATTTTAATTTTCGAGACATCATTGCAAAACACAGTCAAGTGACATGGCCTAACTAACACTATTTTCCAAGCAGGTTGCAAGACAAAATTCTGGATGATTCTGTGATTGTCCCAAGCAGTTAAAGTGTTCTCAAATCCTTCTGGTTCAGGCAAAAAAAGTTGGCAGGGCTGAAAGGGCAACTGAGGTCCTGGCGCTATGCCTGGCTGTGCCCAGTGTTCAGGAGACGTGTGGCTGCTCAGGTGACATTGGCCTTCCATTTGCATGTGACCTGTCTCCCTTAGCAGCCAGACATACCACAGTTTATGAAGCTGTGTCTGTATCAAGATCAAGTGGAAGTGAATTAATTCAGTGGTTGAATTCACTGGTGAATTAAGAGTTGGGTATGAACAGATGTGGTGCTTTTAGTAAACTGAAAAGAAGGGAAGAGAAAAAGTCTTTTTTTAAAAAGAAAATAAAAGATGTTGGGAGGAACTATTAAAATATCTGCATTGTTTACTTGATATGAAACTAAGCTTTACTTCTGTAATTATAAGAAATGTGCTCCCTATACAGGAATTTCAAAGTACTGCAAAGTATATAAATGCATAAGCTTTACATCTGAAGAATGGCAAATAAAGCCATTATTTAAGGTAAAGCTGCATGGCACACTAAAATGGTTTGTCTACTTCTTGATCTAATTGACATCGTAACATAGGAAAGAAAATTCAAGTCTGAAAATAATAAGAATCTATATTCTTAATATGTTGAGAATAAGCCCTTTTGGGGAATGGACTGAATATCTGTTATAGCACAGAGAACTGATGCTGCCATGGAGACTTTTTCTCTTTCTTGAAAAAAAAACACAACAAACCACCAACAATGTAATAATGTATTCCATCACTATCTATTCACTAGAATGTAGTTAATGCAGTATCATGGACCGGCAACAAATTTGGCCTTCCAGATAGACACAGGACTTCTTACTGACAAATGTTTGAAGTTCTGAAATGAAGTAAATGCTCTTAAAATTCTCAATTGTACAATCTGGAAGGAGTTAAGTGAGCTCCCAGTAAAGGATTTAAGTAGAGGATTTAAATGAAGTATTGCTTTAAACAATACACTATATAGTCTGATATTATTTTATATGTTAAAAAAATCTTATATGCAGGATTCTTTTTAAGTTTTCCCCAAATGTCTTTTTTTTTTTCCCCACAGCAGACACTCAGGAAAAAGGCTGAGAACTATTATACATAAAATATCTCATTTTATTCTAGATTTTTTTTTTTTTTGAGTATATAAGGTTTATTTTATTTTCATAAAATCTTATGACTCATGGATTTCTCCTGAGCATAGTCTGCAGACTCAGCACTTGAAAATCTTCAGGTACAATTAGAGCACAAAGCAAATTTGAACTGTATTAACTTAAACTGAAATTCACTGTTTTCCCTGTAGCAGACAAGAGAGACAACTTCTCCTTTCTCGCTGCTGAATACACACAGAACAGAACACCATATACTCAAGGCCAGTCCACTTGGTGACTCCCTAGTGATTGTTTGGAGAGCCTACAGAGCTCTAATAAACTTCTCTAATTCATAAGAAGGTTTAATCAAACAGATCACATGGACTATCCAAACAACCACAGGTTTATATACTGACTGAACATAAAGTCAATAGAGCCCCCTGCCTGATCAGGACAGCATGTATACCATGGGATTCCTGATCTCAATATCTAAATGCATCAAACACCGACACCCAGCCCCATGTATGCTGGGATTTCTCCAGCAAGATGTAAGGATTCAACCAAGGCAGAGGAGAACACAGCTGGCATGTTGTGAAGGGATGTTACCTAGTGCTGAGGAGCACAGAAACCCTTTCTTTGGAGAGTGCCGGGTGTCCTCTCCTTTGTTGTTTTCTGGTGGAGTAAGTTGTCTGTTTTCGTCATCTTGGTATGCGAGCCTGGAAAGGAGAGCAAAGGGATTCTAGGAAAGTAGCTCATATTGGACAGAATAACCCCTCTTCCAGCAGGAAAGCCAAGAAGATCATGCTATCAAATGGATGTGAGCTAGCTAACAGGTCCAGGTGAAGCAACAGAGACCGTGCGATAGGAATGCTCTAAATACGAGATGTGGGAGCATTAGGCAGTAGAATCATAGAATCACAGAATTGCTCAGGTTGGAAAAGACCTTAAAGATCACCAAGTCCACCCACAACCTAACCAAACTACCCTAACAACCCACCGCTAAATCATGTCCCTGAGCACCACATCCAAACGGTTTTTAAACACATTCAGGGATGGTGAAAGAAGTGAATGGTGGGGAGGCACTGATGTCTCATTCAGAGGAGAAGGAAAATCTTATGGAAAAGATCCAAAAGGTATCCTTTTCAATGTTATTTTGTTATTTCTCAGGGCTGAACTGCTTTTTGTTTTTCTTTCAACTTTCTGATTCTGAATTGCGTGACTAAAGTTTTCTGGCCTTATCCCATAAATTGAAAAAATTGTAGAAAAATGTTACATCTTCCCATCTCTCCCCCTTAATTCAAGAACCACCCAAAAACTTTGACTAAAGCTGCAAAGCTCACATTTCAGTAGAGAGCAGACTTGGTTCACTACAGTACTCAATGTCTTCATTCAAATTTTCATCATAAGTCTCATCCTGAGACACTTCCTCTTGGCAAACAATTGCCAGCTGGCTGTCTCTGGAACTGGAGCTAATGAGCAAAAAAGACAAGTCAAGATACAGAGATGGTAAAGAAAACCTGCTATAGAGACAAGAATGACAGGCTCCATCTGTCTCAGTTTATTACAATGTTGAAGAGCTATCATAGAAAAATCAGTCACTGAACACAACTGAAGAGTTCACAAATACTAAAGCAACAACCACTGCCTGCGCCCTCTTTCAGAGGAAGTTTCTTAAGTTAATACTGAATGGTACCAGAAACATTTTGTTGTCATTTGTGACTACATGTATTCTATACACTTGCATATCACCCTAAAAATCTTTCCAAGGCTGTGAACTTGTAGTATAATCTGATATGGATTCTTGAAAATTCAGCTTTTTATCTTGTTGCAAAAACTTTGGTTATGAACTTCAAAGAAGAGCCTCCATGACAGAATAACCTTCTCAGCTCTGTGGTGTACTGTCTCTATCTCTCAAATCCTTCATTCTACATCATCTCTACCTTTTGCCTCTTTTTTAGGTCCTCATTTCTTCTGGTGTTTTCCACCTTTTCTCCCTTTTTGCTCATCACTAGCTGCAGAATGCTTCTGTCTGAATTCATTTGATCTTTTCAAACTCCTTGGCATAACAGCCCTTAACTCCCTGCTTGGCTCCACCTTGTCCCTCTGATTCAAGTCTCAGCCCTCATATTTTACTTTATTCTGAGTTTGTTTTCTGAGGAGTAGAGTAAAATCTGAGGTTAGTACAAATCTTTGAAATACTGACATGCAGATATCAGAGTCAGTTTTGACTAGCATTCACAGAAGAAAGCAGTGTGGTAAAGGTTTTTCCATCTTTCAGGGACTGCACAGGAAACATTATTTTCTCATTTGGTTCAAGCAAAAACCACTAGGAGCAAAGTATATATCAATGGTACAGAACAGTCTGAAGGATGGTGCTGGAGTGATCTTCTATCTGAGATGGGAGCCAAGTAAAACTGCTAAGGTTCAAAGGGGAGAACATGGTAGCTTCCCCTGTACAACAGTCTCTGTTTAGTTAAAACCAAACCAAATTTTTGTGTGAACATGGCAGGGTGTAGTGTACTGTGCTGTGGCCAGAGAGTGCCTACATGTGTGATCCCAGCTAGAAACTCTAAAAAAAAAAAAAAAAAAAAAATTTAGAAACCAGCTAGAAAAAGTCTGTACATTATGGTGGGCAGAAAAGCTCTGAATTGGCAGTATTTTCTGGAGTTGCCATGGCAAATCATAAAACTCCTTTTCAACCTAGTGACTATAAAAAGAAAAGCTTATATTTGGAATTAATTGGGATTTGAACTTTCAGTCGGACAAACAATGGGCCTTAAACCCAGAGAGTGTTAGAGCATGAGAGAGAACACATACCGTCCCAATGTTTCGTAGTAGTGCGTCCTAATTCAAGGAAGGTGCACAAGGAAGCAAGAAGAGAAAAGAACACCATGTTAGCAGTGTCACATCTGTACAAGTCTGCAAGTGGGGGGCAGTTGATAACACACTGTGGCCTCCATAAGGTAGGCAGGAAGTAGAAAAGCCTTTAGGTTCTTTACTTGAGTAATTACTTGAGCAATGCTGCACCCACAGAATTTCCTCCATCTTATCATCTTCAGTCATGTTCTGGCTCAGCATTTATCCACCTTTTCACATTGCCCTCTGTCTAAAAAAACAATTTTCAGCTCAATCCTGTTTTTACTGAGTGACTAAAAAAAATACCCCACTGATAAAAAGGGACATTTCTTTTGCATTAGTCATCTATGTGTAGATGGATGCCCAAAGAAGGGGATTTTCTTTGGTTTACTCAGTATTGCATTTCCAAAAACCTTGTTTCTCTCCTCCCAGAATATCTTTGGTGACTGCTTTATGGATATGATGCACTAAATAAAGAAACACTGACTTCCACAGATCTCCCTAACTGGCTTCTTAAGAGATACATTGCAGTTCCTTTTTCTTTCAGTTAACAGTTGATAAAACAACTCTCTTTGGTGAAAAAGGGGTAAATAAGGCTCCCTTTGGTCCTTATAAAAGTTTCTTCATGATAAAGCCCGAAGAAATCAACTGTGCTTATCAGTTGAGGCTGCTGCTGCTTTGCAGTGGTTGCGTATCTGCTGCACCGTGGGCTTTAGCACAAGTGGAGAACCCAGAAGGCTCAATCCAGCCTGCAGACAGAGCAATAGGCAGGGTGACTCTAGCTAGGCAGCAGTGCTTTGGTGTTGGCATGCATGTTGCTCCCCCTGGTCCATTGGCCCACTCTGTGCTGTGAAGCTTACCTTTTGGATGGTAATTTCCAAGGAGCTTCTTGCACACGTATGGTGGGCGACAATGGAGTCCCATGGCCTTCCACAGTGCTGACAGTGCTGGGGTAGCTGGGTGGGCTTGGGAAGCGGCACAGGGCAGTGTTGTTGGCATTGTTGATGTTTGCATTGGAGCCTGAAGATGAGTAGCTGCTGGGAGTGAAGGTGGAGTCCACCAACTTCTCATGAGATGGAGACTCGGTATCTCCCTGGTTGTTGCCAGATTTATTGATGTGCAAAGGTCGCTGGGTGGTGAATGTCTGGGGGAACGCACTCCTGCCATCACTTTGGTAATAGCTGACATGGTTTCCAAACAAGCCTCCGGCTCTCTGTTAGAGAAACAAGTAATATTTTCCTTTGTCAGTAAGAAGATGTGCAAGGGCCATGGTATTTCCTATTGATCCTGTTTTTGAGGGAAAGAAAATGTGAGGACCAGCTTGGGCACTTAGGACACTGCTCTCTGTGCCAGAAGATACAGTCCATGGACTTCTCTGTCTCAGAGACCTCTACAGACAGGCTGTGAAAGTGTCACTTTTTAATGATATTTCATAGGACCTTGAAGAAATGTATAGATGCATAGGTGAGACAAAGGTGTCCATATACCTTCAACCAGCCCTGGGAGTGCATGACTGAGTAGGGTGGTATGAATGAGGTTACTGCTCTCTGGTCTTCACAGTATAGTTACAAAACAGTATCTAGACATAAGAGGGAGTCTGAGAAGAGCATGAGTAGCTATTAATCACCTGGAGGAAGAAATGAAGAAAGATTTAATAAGCCAGTCATCTACTGTTTGGATGATGAATTATGGGAAGGACAGACAGCATCTTTCTGTAAATGATTTGAAGGGGAGACATGCCAAAGGAGAAGAAATATTACCAGAGGGTACAATTAGAAGCAATGGGAATGAAATAAGAAAGAGAAGATTTAGATAATTGCTCAGGAAATTTTGTCCAGGACTGTAGGATTTCTGTTGGGCTCTGGGGTACATTTTGAAAGGATAATACTTGTACCACTGAAAGGAAAACTAAACAAAAAGCTGCAGTGTGTCTAGCTGCTGCTGTATGGACAGGAAGGTAGATGAACTTAGTGTTTTTTCAGATACTTTGGCCATTGCCATTCTGATTTTATTTAGACTTAATGAGGTGAAAGTGTCCAATAATAATAAAATGAGATAAAAACATGTAAAATTTGTAGGATCTGGCACCCTGACTCCACTAGTCCTTCTTGTCAGCAGAAATACAGACTGCACACACAAAAAAAACCCAGAACTCTTTAGGCTGAGCTACTGGTCTAGCCTCAACTTGTAAATTTGTTTAGCACCTACCCGGAAGATATCATCTTCAGAGGCAGCAGAAACAGCTTCTTTCATAGCCTTATCTAGCTCTTCTTCAGCTGTCAGGTCTCCAGAGATCGCTCGTCGGATCTCTGGACCAATGTCGTGAAGTGTGCGCAAACCAGCCTGCAAAACAGCAAACTGTAGAGCTTCATATCTCCGAGTGGTTATATGAGGTATAAAAGCAATGCTATTTCTTCTAAGCACAGTGAAGCTTTTCTACTTAACATAGCATTGCCCAGCTTCTAGAAAAATATCAACAAATTCAGTTTTTTCATCTCCAACTTAGAGAGGGAGAAAGTCTTAGCAATACAACTCAAGAATGCTCTTTGCTAGTCTCTTGGTTTCATCAAGACAGGTCAAAACCATAAATTGATGGGCCTGACTGAGCAAGTCTGCAAGCTTTCAACTTAGGGTTCTCAGATCCACTACCAGAAGCCCTAGAGCAGCCACAGTTCCAGCTGAACCATGTACTCAGCAGCTCTGAACAGCTTTTTTTTGATCAGAAGCTTAAATAAGGATTTCAAAGCCAAGCTTCTGACATCAGAATCTGGACAGTGCTCAAACCCCTCACTGACTGGAGTCCACTCCAGGGAGGTATGCTGATGCTTTGTCCATTGGATGGTCTTGGAACCCAGGTACGCTTTTGCTTTTTAACTGATTTTGTCTCCTAGCGACATGCTGTCCCTGACCCTGTTACAGTGACTCTTTTCCAGTGGGGATAGCCCAATGCAGCCCCCACAATGGCTGATAGGGAAGGGGGGGGTCAAATGCCTCAACCATATCACCCCTGTCCATTCTGTGCCCGTTTGTCACCTGCAAGGAGAGTGCGTTGCGCTGGGAAGGCTTGCCCACCAGGCCCTGCTCTTTGCGTTTCTTGAACTTCCGGAAATACTCTTGAATCAGGAAAGTGGCGTAGAACTTCCCAACAGTCACCTCATCATCTGGAAAGGGGTTATTTCCAGGAAAAGAAAAAAAAAAATAAGAAAGCATATCATTTTAAATGGTGTGTTTCTAAGGTGAGACTTGCAGTTCAAAGCAGAAACACTAAGCACCACAGTAATTCTCTGCTACTTACAGCACCAGTACACAAGGTTGAATGAAGGGACTGCTCCACAGTCAGAGCTTTACGTAAGCAATCAGGAGGTGAGGTGAGCATGGTGTTTGGATAGACTGGCCCAGGTGGCAGAGAATAGCTATTGCTATGCATCTCTGGATGTACTTTTGTTATGGAGAACTGCCTCTAAGCTTTCTAGTCTCTAGTACTGGTTTATTACATATGATCTTGATGTAGCAGTAACCTCCCTGTCTGGGTCAGGACATGTTCTTCTGACAGCCTGGGGTAATGTATACTCCACATCTGTTCAAATAACAGCATATGACTGACCATCCATCCCAGATCTGATCTGGCTCTTCTCTACACTGAAATTCTGTCCTGTGTCTAGTATGGGTGTGAGAGAAACAAAGTGATCACCTCTCCCCAGAAATGCAGTCAATGCTCAGTTCTTGCTATATTCTTATTCAACATGAGCTGTTGATGAGCCATGTTTGTACCCAGCTTTTATTCAGGCAACTCTCCTCCTTTCTTCAAACCTGCTGGAAATTTTTATAAGATACAGTCAACTGAGTTCAGAAGAGGCTGAGCAAGGTTTCAAGATATTGCAGCTGTTAACAAACTGCCAAGTGGTATTTTACATGATAGTCCCCAGAAAAACCTGGAAGGTCAGTGAAGGAACACAGTAGATGCCTACGCATCTGGGCTTCTAAGAAGCCTAGCACAGGAGGACCTGGAGTCCTGGTTAATTACAGTCCAGCAGGGACGCTGCATAGAAACCTGCAGCAGTCAGTTTCACCACTTCTGACTGCTGAGGATTGTCCCCATGTCCATATGTCTTAGACAGGCATCATAGTAGAAAGCGGTTACGTGAGTAAAAAAGGAATTATAAGGCATAGTAAAGATAGTTTTGCTAAGTGTGAAGAAATTAATAGAAGGGGCTGCATCCTCAGCTTGATTGTAAGGCCATATCTCTTATACAGTCACATAAAGTCCACGTTGTCCCTGAAGCTACTCACTTCTGTTTGCTTCCTTTGTCCCTAGCAAGGCATTAAGTAATGCCTAAGAGAGCAACATCGAGGAATGAAAATTTCAAACTCATATTTAAACATCCTTCTTCCTCCCTCTATTTTTCAGCATGTATATATATGCTGAATATATACGTTGGTACAGACAAAACCATATCTCAATCTGATGAACAATCAAGCCAGGTAAACAGGTATTAACAGTTTGTAGAACAAAGCCTGACCCCTGTACTCTATCTGATGATCAGGAGGTGCAGTAGGACATGTCAGGTAGGGAAAGGACAGACATTCACAGACTGGGACAGCATCCTGCACTCACCACCTGCAGGAGGCACCACCTGGTCCAGCAACTTCATACTGGTGCGCTTCCAGATTTTCTTAATTATTGCTCTAAGCTCTTCATTGGCTTGCTCCAGGTTACCTGCAGGGTGAAAATCATCAGAGACAGGAATTAAGCCAGAGCCTGCAGAGGAGCAATTTCACACGTCTAGCATGGCAATCTCAGGAGGAAAACACCAGAGCTCCTGAAGTGGTGGAAAGTTTTGGGCAAATAGGTTCTCAGATGATTGCTAAAGTCCCCTTACAAAGAGAGATTGTTTTCCTAAATACGCACAGTCATCTCAGGGTGAAGGTGACTGTGTTACTATCTCTGTAAGCCAGAAACAAGGGAACCACAACACTACTTTGTTCTGAAAAGCAAAAATCTCATTCAGTACTTCCAAATTCTGAGATGCAGTGAAGGTTAGATACAATGAGAAGAGAGGTCAGTTAATGGGAAACTAACTACTTCCTGAAGAACACAAATAATTGTTGGTAAAGATTCAGCTAAAAGTCTGAAAATCTAAGCCTCCTTGTGGCCCTTTCCAGTAGTTACTTCATAGAATTGTAGAATTATAGAAGATCCTGAGTTGGAGGGGACCCACAAGGATCATTGATTCCAGTTCCTGGCTCCACACAGCACCACCCAAAATTCAAACCCTGTGGCCGAGAGCAGTGTCCAAACACTCCTCAAATTCCAGCAGCCTGGGGCCTATGCCCATGCCCTGTGCAGCCCGTTCCATGCCCACCTCCCTGTGGTGCAGACCTGTCCCTCACCCCCAGCTGCCCTCCCCTGACACAGCTCCATGCCGTTCCCTCGGGCCCTGTCGCTGTCACACAGAGCAGAGCTCAGCGCTGCCCCTCTGCTCCCCGTGGATCTGCTCCCTTCCCTTGCCCAGTGGCAGTTCTGGGCCTAGTGTACCCCACGGTACAGTTTGCCTTTTTGGCTGCCAGGGCACACTGCTGATTTGTGTTCAGCTTGCCATCAGCCAGGATCGCCTGCTGCAAGTACAAACTACAAAGGACTAAACTACTGTATTTTCTTTCCAAGGGTGCTGTTCCTCCAACTTTTCTTCCTCCTCTCCCAGCGCTAAGGCTCCTCCTCAGTGTACTACACTAAGCCTCTGCATGCCAGCAGCTCTCTTAATATGATGAAGTGAAGACATGAACATTAAATAACATTGGTGAGGATAAAACAGCTGGAAAGCATCAAAGGCAGAAATATGACTCAGGAGGTTGAATTCCAAACTCCTGCCCTAACCACTTACAGGATCCTGCAAAGGAAAGAGCAAGCAGTTAGATGGTTTCCCAGGAATTCACTGGTGATGACCCTGAGAGTCTAAGGCTAAGACAGATGAGAAATTCATGTCTTTCTTTGGGCCTCTTTTTCGTAAGACACAAGATGTTGTATTGGGGTTGCAGTTTGCTTTTTCCTCAGGAGAGCCTCTTTGGCTACCGCCAAGTTTTGCTTAGCGCAAGATTCAAAGCCTCACTATCATTTTTTTTTAATCCTACAGGGTTTTTTTTGTGTGCTCTCCTGTGCCTGAAATGTAACATAGCTATTCCTGAGACAAGGACTAGCTGTGAATGAGAGAACCACATGCTCTTTTAGAATATCTAATTAATTTATCAAGCCAGGTTTTGACTCAGGACCAGTATCTTTCATTATAAAAGGTGATAAGAGTGCAACAAAGAGGACAAGCTGAGCCCAAATTTTGCCTGCTTTCCCCAGCTGGTCCAAGAAAATATCTTAACAGTTTGTTTGCTTCCCATCTGACCTCTGGCCTATAACAGCACTATCACTGCAATATCATGTTAACTCCTGTCAAAAGAAGCACTAGCTTTCTAGATAATATTGAGATAGAAACACTTCTTAGAAGGCATTATTCCTTCAAACATCGTTACACTGATTTTTTCTACCCAGTAGTCCATAACTGGGCTCATTTTACATAAAATGTTGTTGTATTCCAGCTTAGCACACTTTGGTGTGAACATCACTCAGCTACCCTTGCACTCAGCAAGCTTGTTACCTTCTGTCTTGATCCTCAATGCAGTTCTGACCAGTGCAAAGAGAGTGGCATTGAACATGACAGTTCCATCGCTGTTCAGTGGCATATTCATGGAGACAAGGCGCTGTGGAATAAGGAGGAGAAAGAGAACGATCATACTTTGTCATGGACTGAATTGCTCTTTCTTACACACTTATGATACCCTCCAGACCTGCCACCCCTCTCAACTGAGCATCCATGGCCTGTAGGTTTGGTTACATAGTCATAGGAGTATGTGTCATACACAGCTTTTGTCCCAGCTATGTTGAGAGTTTGCTCTGGGATCTCTCTCCAACTGCTGGATACTCTGTTTTCTTCAATGTGGCTATCACTTTCTACCAGTGGCCAGTAGGCATTTGAGCAAACTTGATTTTTCATACTCCATGAGACTCTTACAGGCTCATCTGCACTAAATATACACCCAGTGGAAGTGTATGTAAACAGAAGGTTAGAAGCCTTCACTGACATAGGTGACAGACAGGAACAAATGGAATTAATGGGACCTGAAAGATGAATCATTTTCCTTCTCTTTTTAAAAACAGGGCTATGGCCATTTTGTGTTATTACTGTAAGGACACATAGGACAGAGAGTGGGTGCTGAATACTGTTCCAGCTAAAGGATGAACTTCATAGAGACCAAGGACATATATCTGAGGCAAGATGTAGCTTTGATCAGATCCTCCATCCTTACTTTTGCCTTGGAACAAGAGATAACACCAGGGACTTGGTTTGAGCTCTTCATGCTTTAAGGGGCTGATTTTGTTTGAGCTCTAACACCACTTTCATGCAATGGTATTTCTGTATATATGCCTTGCTCTTTGTATAAACACGTCAATATTCACTAGAGAGAATCTTTTCCAAATCTGGAGTCACACAACCAAAGAAACGAGTGAGACAGAAAATCTGCTCTTGATATGTGTGTTTGATACCACAACTGCATGTGACTCCCAGCCTTCTCCAAGCTGCCATGTGCCTTACTTTGCAAGCCACTCGGTGAGGGCAAAGCTTCCCAAAGCCCAGTGGAGGCTGAATGCGCCGGAGCAATGTCACCACGTCCAAGTGCTTGATCCGTCCCCTAAGGAAGAAAGCATATTAAGGGTCACATCCTTACCACAGTTGATCTGCTGAACCCCATGTAGATGCTGGCAGAAGTACCACCAAGATCTTTCCAGGCCTGCCACCCCCTGTAACCTGGGCACAGTTGAAGGTATTATTTCAGGCCTCTTATATTCAGTGCATTCCTCAGGATCTGCCCAGTGCTCACAAAACTCCCATCAATACAGAGCACACAGATGTGAGTGATATATAAATCAGTACTTGCAAGAATTGACTTCAGTGTTTTGAAAGCTGCAGTTCCCTAGTGCACAAATAGTCTGGTGCTCTCCCCACACCACTGACCTGCTCTAAATATATGACTGCTTGTTTGCCTCCTGGCTGTAATGCTACAGCAGTTGCAAAGGTGCAGAGGGTCTCTTTTTTTCTTGAGCTTTCCCTCCCATACCATGAGCCACTGACTTTTGATGCTTGTTTATGCCTTGGGCTATCACTGGGGCCAGTGCAAAACAAAGTCCTTAAGTGCCACAACTGAGACAGCACCAGTTGGATTTAAGTTTCGTAAATGGTATTTCAAAAGAAGAATTCTCTTAGGGATGTAGGAGAGGAGGTTCAACCATGGGACATTGAGGGAGAAGAGTTAAAAAGAGCACACCTATAGACAACAATGAACAGAATATTATTTGGTGAGGGATTAACTATTATATGGCTTCAGCTGCTGCAGTCTTGCCTTCAAACAAACACAAATAGTAGCATCTGTTTTGTAAGCTAACAGCATATTTATTAGAATGCTGTGCTTGCTCCCTAACAATATTGAAATTCTCTTTGGACAATTACCCTGGATGGGAAGAGGTGTTTCAATTTAAGTATCACTCTGATAATGTGACATGGCCTCACATATTGCAGAGCTTGAGCCCAGATTAATCTTGACACTATGTCTCCACATCCAGAACTGAAGAGATCTGCTTTTCATTCATGCTAAGATCTCTTTCCATGGATTTTGCATTATGGAAGGGACTTTGCAATTACAATTGTCAACTACATTGTTATGCAGCGGGGATCTAAATGCACTTTAAGCCTAAGCATGTGTCAAGCAGAGCATGTAATACTGAATGTCAGTTAAGCTCTCGTGTGAGTTGTTCATGTGTAACCTTAAATCCCTGCAAGTCTGCTGATACAACCCTGCAGATCATGTAACGCAGTCATGTGGAGCTACCAGTTTTGATGGGCCTATATGACACACGACAAAGTGGAGATTTGAGCACAGCAGTTCTTCTGTGAGTAGAAAGTCAAATAGAAGGGCCATAGCTTGGATTCAATATCCCAAACACATACAACAGTAAAACAACTCAAACCTTCTCTTAAGTTTTCTAGTATCCTCTCACTCAGCAGTCTGTTTTTCCCCTTGACTGAAAGCAAAGCAATGTCCTGCCAGGTGATGGTACAGCTCAGATGCATAGATTTTTGTGCACATCACTGCATTGCTGGCCTGTGGATTTACCAGCAATACCTTAAGGAGGGATCTGTTTTAAGATTCTTGCAGAAAAAAAAGGTTCCTGAGGAAGGGATGTTGCACTTACTGCACTGGGTCTGGAGAACAGGAAACAACGGGCCTGTTCTCCTGAAGAGCTCTGCTATCCAGGCTGGATTACTTACTTGGCTTCAGGGTCATACTCTGCCCAGATCCTTTTAAACTCATCTAGGTGGTGTGGTCCTAAAATGGACCAGTCCCGTGTCAGGTAATCGAAGTTATCCATTATAACAGCTACAAAAAGATTGATGATCTGCAAACAAGGACAAAGATGACTTGGTGTATGAGATGGATAACAGTAGACTTTTCCACATTCTCAATTCAAAGTCCAAGTTTGGACTTGTAAATCTAGGAGGTCACTTGGGGTGGTTTCTCTCTGTTCCTGCATGTAAACCCCACATTTTAAACAGGAAGATCCCCAAGATAGGACGTCCTCAGCTGGTCAGCATTCAGCAACCAGACGGATGAGGCCCAAGTGTGCTGTAGGCATGCAGTGAGGGCTTTTTGTTTACCTGTGTCTTTGCCCACTAGAATGGGGTATTGGTAGAGAACTTAGAATTTACCCTCTATGGGTTGTGAGGCTGAGATAAAATTCCTTTCTCTTGGCCCCAGACCAACATTTTAAAAATCTTGCTGCTGTTCACTGGGAGAGTTTTGCTCACTGATGCGCGCTGCAGAACATGTGCTGTCACTCTGAGCAATGCCATATTGTCAACACGGAGCAGATGCAAGTGGGGTATGTGTATTCTCACAGTCATTGCTGCTGCCAGGGGAGAAAAAACCTGCTCGGCAGCCAGAAGGAAGGTAGGAGGGAAGGTGGGAAGTGTGGCTGAGGCGTTGCTAGCCTCAGCACAGCCCACAACATGCTAATTTGGTTTTCTCATACACGGGTAGAGGGAAGAGGGCTCCTTTGCTGTGCACAGAGAGCTGGGGTGGGAGCAGAGCATCCCCCAGGCTGCAGGGAGAGGTGGGACCTGCAGACCCCAAGGAGGAATTGTCATGGCAAGAGTGCTACTGGGAAAGACCCCACAAGGAATTTTCCTATCTTTGAAGCCATCCTTCTTCTGTGCAGCACTGAGGCTCGGGGAGGCAGAGGTCAGTTTGACTGGGGCAATTTACAAGTGCTTTGGCCAACTCACCAGGAAGGCACAGAGCATGTAGAAGCTTATGAAGTAGAAGACAGCGAAGCTGCTGCCACAGGAGTGGTCAGCTTCAGTGGAGTTGGCCGGCTCTGACTCTGGGTCGCACTTCTTGTCCGGGAGACACGCCAGCATGATTTCCTGCCAGGCCTCACCGGTGGCACACCTAGGTACAGCAAAGAGTAAGGGAAGACAGCAGTGACCCTTGATATGGGAGGGAGCTGCAAATTACCAACCTTCTCCTGCTCTCCCAAAGTCAACTACAAGCAGGTGAGGCCAGTGTCTGGGATTTTACATTCTGCTGAGATGTATGTGACAACGGCTATGCATTACATGAAAAACTTCCATGAAAACAAAGACAGAGTTGCATTTAGACCAACTCCCCATCCTCCTCTCCCCACCTTCAGCACCCCTCCCTGGGCCTAGGACACCTGGCCACAGCTGGAGCAGATGATGTGCAAACAGAGGTAGGCATGACCATGCCAAAGCATGCCTGGGGCTTCGTCCCCCTTTGCCTGCTAGAACAAGCTGGAGTCATATTGGCTTATTTGAAAGAAGGAGGAGTTTGTGATGAGTATCACGGTGTGAGAGAACTGAACATCTGTCTGCCATTCGTTTGAGCAGGAGGAGCTGCTTCCCTCCCTGGGCACTGAGTGCTGACCAGTGACAGATGGCAGGGCACGAGGCTTAGCAGAGCGGTCATTTCATCTGGCACAGCTCCTAGGTTCTCCCACCAAGGGACAACATGTTTCTACTCACCTTGTGAGCATGACGTGTTGGAAGGAGATAAACTGTGCCCAAGAGCAGAGAAATCACACTCCCGGACTGACACAATCCAGAGCTGTCAGACACCCACCTGAAAAGCAGCAGCACCGCTTGGGGGAAGGTCTGGAAGTTGTTGTTGCGGTTGATTTCTGTGGTATCATTCAGAGCAATTTTACCAAATACCTGGCAGAAAGCAGAGGTCTTTTAAGGTTAGCATTGTAAAATCCCCAAACCTCCTGTTACTTGCAGCTCTTGGCTTCCCCCTGACTCTGGAGAGCTGACATTTAACAGAATCTGCCCTTCTCTCAAACATTTTCACTGGTCTTTCATATTTACTGTTGCTTCTTTTGCTTGTACTTAATTACCAGAATAGCACTCATATTAAACAAGATATACTTTCTTATTTTATATACTGTGAATAGGTGATATGTGGCCTTCTATAAACTAGCACTCATATGGGAAGTTCCTTGAAGTTCCAAGTCTGTGAAGTGCTTTGCATCTTCCCCAAATAGTGTAAAGTATGTTGAATCTGGAAATTATCTAAATGCCTGCCCTCCTGGTAACCATGCTTGTCACCAGGAGGTATCTCAGGACCCTTCAGAATGCAGCAGCGTGAAGATGATGACTGGATTTTTCCAGAGAAAAAGGGAAAGGAGCAGTGGAAGAGCCTAACAGAAGTACACATGAGAGGTGTATATCAGGGAAGATCTAGCTTAAAAGCCTCATGATGTAAATGAAAGCAGTGGCTCTTTGAGACAGAAATAAAGCAGATCAGTGTCTTGTGTGCTGTTTTAGGTGGTCTGCAGCAGTAATGCACTTTCTTTTGCAGAGAAGGCAACTGAAGAATTACAGCCCTTGCAGGGAACTTGCTCTCAGGTACAAAGTCATGATGGTAACGATTTAAGTCAATGCAGAAGAAAAACTCTGCTTGCTATTTCAAACTCCTTGGGGCTCTCCATGCACTGCACCTGAGCTGCTCCAAATTGTAATTGATCTGACAGCCCTTTCCTTAAAGCCATAAAGGATGGCTGACAGCTTCCTCCCATGCCCAGCCAGCCGTCACTGTACCAGTTCATTCGTTCAGCCGTAGCATGAAGCCTGCAACCCTTGGTGCAGCTTTTAGGAGCCCACTGCCAGATACCAAGTCCCTGGTGTAGGACAATTCTAGGCTTCTTTGAGAAAGTCTGACACTTTTGTACCTGTGGGCACTGGGACCAAGAACCTGACAAAACCTGCTTGGCAACAAGGTCTGCACAGCACTGTCGGCCAGGACTATTGCCCATTAATAGCAGCATGGCGGAGGCCTCAAGGGCTGAGAGCTGCAATCTCATAGCCAAGATGAGCAGCAGGAACAGACCAGCCCTGAGAGAACACGGAGCTCCTTTTCAAGCACATGTCACTGATAATTAACACCCTGAGACGTGCAGGGACAATGACAGAAGGACCATGCCAGAGAGGAGGAGGGCCTGCTCATGGCAGCCTTTCCGCAGGGGATCCTGGTGGATGTGCAGGCCTGGGGACAGCCCCGGCTGTCCCCATGCTGTGGGTGGCAGTGACAGCCCCAGCTGTGCAGAGTAGGAGCAGAAGAACAGCTTAAATGCTCAGAGGCAGCTTGAGCTGAAGCAGCCCATATTTTTTGTTTCAGGCAAGCGTAGGCAAAGGAACCACCCATGCTGGAAGCTTGATTTTTCCTCTCTTCCCAGCAGCTTCCCTCACACATGATGCACCAGCACCTGCTTCCATGGCAGTTTTGCATGGCTCAACTGTGAAGAGCTGCAGGTAGAGGTTTCTCTCCCACAGCCTGTGCCTCCCATGCCATTATAGCAGTGGCTGCCTCTGTCAGCATCAATTTGTATTTTTCCACTTGTCCACATCAGATAGCAAGGCTTGAATGTTGTTACGCTCCTAGTCAGGTGAGTAGCTGAGATAACATGGTAGGTCTTGTTTAGGTGAGGAATTCTTACATTTTCTTCAGATCTGGTGCCTGTAGGCTTTAAGGAAGCTGCTCAATGCAGTGGGGAAGGATTCTCCCTACTCCGTGTCCCTGAGTGTGAGAGAACTCTACCTGTCAGAAGGTCCAAGAGAACAGCACATGAAATGTCTGAAATGTCATTATGACAAAAAATGATGGTAGCAGGTCAGCAGGCTAAAAGCATAGAGGGAAAAGAGAGGAACTTTCTTTTCTATTGAAAGATAGGAGGACAGAAAGCAATCCAGTAATCTAGATCAACATGGAAGAGAAATGTATGATCTTCGGGCTGCTGAAATGATTAAAATAGAGGCATGAATGTTTGCCAGTGATTAAACAGACAACTTAGAACTAGCTGACAAAAGAGGGAATACAATTACAGAATAATCCATCTAGCCCTGGCAGTTCCACGATCATCATAAGCCCCATCTGGATAGGTGCAGGGAAGCCATTTCTAATGCTTTATGTAGCTACATAACATAGTATAATACTCTCAAGTGATTTTCTGTTTAGCACAGGTAATCCTGTAAAGATCTTGTCCATTTGAGCTAGTTAGGCATTAAAGGCAAAACTGGCACATTTAAAGTATGAGCCCAGTATATTAAATGACAGCTGTAATTACTGGGGGCAATTAAGATAACCTATGATAATTCAAGATGGGATTGGTTTTATTTTTCATACTGGGGGAGGGTGGATGGAGCCTATGAAAAGATGTGATTATAGTAGCAGGAAACAAATTAAAATAAGGTCAGAAAGGTGAGATGAATTTTGTTACAAATTCTGTCTGCATTGTGAAACCAAGAAGCCTGTCATAGTTAAAGACCTCTGGAAATAATTACGCCTTGCCTTTTTATGCTATGGTCTCTGGTCCCAGATGGCCGACTTGTCTGAGATCTTTGATTAACACAGAAGTGGAAAGTGAAGCTTAGTTTGAAAAGAAGCACAGCAAATGAGGCTGGGACTGTCACAGACCGTGCCTCTATCACATGCTGTCTTCAATGGTCTGTATGCAACATCAGTTCCTTGCACAGATGAATGCTCAAGCTGGTTCCAAGTTCATTTTGCAAGCTGAATAGGATATTGTATTAATGCAGCTTCCTGAAGAACTGGCACAAACACAGAGTCGGTACACTGGTTCTGATCCCATATTTGCCTTCAAGGGTGTAAATCAAAAGCTGCTCTTTATGAGCCAGTAGAGTTAGGCCAGCATGAAAGTGATGGGAGAGAAAAATGGGGTTTACTCAGTGCAGCATGGCCACGAGCCCACTGAAACAACTCTTTTGAGCCAATGAGCAAGGCAGTAATTCACCTTTGCCAGAGCTTCTGGGTATTCCTTTGGGAGTATGGAGGGTTAGCACATTCCTTTTATTGATTTTTTATACTGTGTTTTGTCATTAAATAGGTCATTTTTTTGATTTTGCTGGAGTGGGTTGTACTTACTTCTTTTGGAAGTGCACATGCAGACAATGCTTTCCAATCAAGGTTAGCTGCCTTCTTAACTTGCTTGGGGAAAACATTCATGTAAGCCTCTACAACTACATGTTGACCTAGTAACCTTACAGTCAAAACTCTAAGAGGAGGAGAAAGATGCAGTTGAGCTCATTAGCATGACTTACCTGCATCCCAATCACGGCGTAGATGAAGAACAACATCACTATTAGAAGAGCCACATAGGGGAGAGCCTAGAAATGAGAAAAAAAGAGACGTGTCTCCACCGCGCCTGTCACCCTGGAAGGGCTCTGCACCACTGGCTTGAGAAAACCGGGCAGAGGCTGTAACTCGCCAGGTGGCCACTAGATGCCGACACAGGCCCACACTTGCCACCCTTGTTCCCTCCCAGCCCAGCAGGGCTCCGACTCCGCTCCTTCTCGGGGACGCTGCATCTCTGTCCCATTTGAACCAGTCCTGCCCTTGGCTTCCCTTGGGGGAAGTCAGGGCACAAATAGCCCACACAGCTTTCTACAGGCAGGAGAAAACTACTGTAACTGCTATCCTTTTGTCCCGAATGGCAATGTCCTCTAACTGTTTTTATTTATTTATTTATTTACTTACTTACTTACTTATTTATTTTCAGGACCCAGTCTGGTGAACTAAAAAATGCAACAGCTGCCCAGACTCAACTTCAAGGTCTCTCCTCCAATGGCCGATCCCATCCTAAGTACCTAAAGCAGCCAGAACTTTGTTCCTGGCTCAGTGTTAGGTGTCTGTGATGGTATCTGCCATGCCCTAAGTGTCACTGATCTGCTGCTCAAGAGGAAATGCAGAGACCTGATACACAGAGCTGCCTCATAAGGAAGAGGCCTATGCAATCAGCAAAGTGTTGAGTGCTCTTGGTTTCCTCCATGCTAGCAGGAATCAGGACACAGCTCAGGCCCTCACAGTCTTGGGTCTTTGAGAAGGCATTTTCTACCCTGTTACTTTTGAAATATGTAGTACTCAGGCCAGAGATTTCCAGACCTTACTTCAAAGGCAACAGGCAGATGTATTTATCCTAAAATGTCAGTACAGCTCCTGGTCAGGATTTTGAACACTTCATTTTATGGATCTACAACATTCTTCTTCTTTTTATTTTTTAACATGAAATTATTTATACATTTCAAGTTTATGCTTCAATTCAGTAGGACTCAGTCCTACAGGAAAAACTGACCACCATAGGGATTTGATGAAGACCTGCAAAAGTAATCTCAAAGAGATCTGAATATTAAAACAGCTGTAAGCTAAACCTTTGAAAAATGTCTGTAACCATCATCTTGAGGCTCAGAGACAGATACCTCTTGATGTGTCAGACAAATCTGTGCGGTTACCCCACAGTGCTATTGGAGATACACTGGCTCAGAATGGGGCTCCCCACACTTTGGGATTATTCGGTTGGGATTTGATTCAAATAAGACCTCAGAAGAACTCCCAGGAGAGTGTCCAGATAGGACTACATGGGCGTAACCTTATCAGTTCCATCTTTCACATGGGGTTTGGAAGAACATCTTCCCACCTGGCCCTTAACCTTTTTCCAAGTTTTTCCGCTCAGCCCACTGACGCACCTTCCCACTCATCTCTGCCCATTACTCCCCATGGGAATTCCCCATCTCCCATATTCCCCTCCCCTAGCTCTGTCCTCCTCCAGCTCTGTCTTTCCCTGCATTTACCACTTTGTCCTTCTGCTTCCCACGGCCTCGCCTTGCCCTCAGCACCCCTCTCGCTTCCTACTCCTCCCACCCACCAGCCTTCTCTCTGCTGCTATCTCTGCCGGCGGAAACCCTGCCGAGCATTTTCCCACCAGGCTCTCCTCTGACCAGCATCCTAGGCTATATATAAGGCATCATATGCCCAGTGCGCACCATGGTCATGATGGGATCTGAACTCTTACATGAGTTCGCTGCTTTTGAGGCTGCCCCGTGTGAACAACAACGCTTCCTGGAAGCATGTGGGGACACGGGGAAGAGCTTGTGCCAGACAAAATCTGCAGGGATCCCAGATTGTGGCGGTGGGAGTGGCTGAGCTGGGAGCTCAGCACTGGGCCTATTCTTAGCTATAAAGTAGTTGCAAGAGGAGGAGCTCCAAGCAGAGAATAGTATGTTATAAACAGCTAAGGGCCTTAAAGGAGAAAGAAACTTGCTCAGTGTTTTTTTTTTTTTCCCCCTACTATGGAAGATACCTCCCCTGATACTTTCTCCCATCACCCTTCAACCCTGTCTAAAAGTATTTCTCCAGTCACAGAGGTCTGAAGGTCACTGAAGCACCAGGCACTCCCTTTCCCATCCACGTCATCCTCTCCAGCCGAGATCCCTGGCACACTGAGCTCAGGGTAAGAGCAAACTATTACAAAGGAGGCCAGAGAAGCATGGAGGCAAGGGGCAGGGGACCAGGAACTGCAGAAGTGTGACTGTTCCAATCCATCAGGGACACTGAGTGGTGCCAAGTGAACCTCATTCCTTTGCATGCAGACAAAATGGCTCCCACTGGAATAGCTCAAGTAATAACCTGATGCTTTCTCCAGCTTTGCCCCAACTATCAGCCAGGTTGTGCTGGCCCACCACATCCATATCAAGCATTCACAAAAGGCAGGAACTTGCTTCATCTCTGATAAATGTTTTTCTACGCTAGATTAGCATCTGTGTTGGAAGCTGTTTTTCTAGCAATAAGCTCTCTCTTGGTGTTTGTTTCACCACTAGGAGTGACAATTCTTAACCTGTCTGGTCTCCTTTGCCTCCACTCTCTCCTCTGGTACTTCACCTACCACTGAAATGCACCTGTCTGCAGGGTGAAAGCAGCAGTGATCCAATAACTTGTCACTGTTACCAAGGCCAAAGGTTTAGGGCTGAAAAGGTGAAATTCTTTCTGGATGAAAGCATGGGGTCCACACCCCTAATATTCACTGGAATTCTCAAAACAAGGCTCAAGGGAAATTTAATTGAGACCCTTGGCTTCCCCTGTGAGTTCCACTTAAAACAAGTTATAAAATACAGCCAAAATTGGGGAGAAAAAAAAAAAAAAAAAAAAAAGATTGAACGGTTACAGACAGTAATTGAGTTGAAGAGAACCATCAAGGCAGTTCAGGAGGGTCTCAAGCAATTACTCATGCTTTAAAGATGAAACTCATACCCAGGCAGCCATCCACTGTGATCTCCATTTGCCTGAGGCTCCTTTGTGCTGCATGCTGCCTGTGAGTGCTGCTCTGCTGAGCATTCTTTGGCTTAGGCAGTGGGATTGAAACTTATCCCGTGGGGCAGCCAAGGGGAAAAAAACAGAAGGGCTATGACCTATAGAAACAAGAGAAGGGATACCTGGAAGGACTTGATGAAGGTCCAAAGCAGTGTCCGGATGCCCTCCCCTCGGCTCAGGAGCTTCACAAGACGCATCACGCGGAAGAGTCGGAAGAAGGTGATTGAGATGCGAGAGTTTTCCTCTGCGTTCTGGAAGCCATTGTCACAGAGGCAGGAGTTACAACAGCACGAGAGAAACAAGGGCCCTGGGCCACAGAGCACGCTATGCTGAGAGCTCACTGCACTGTTCCTTATCCTGGTAATGCTCCCTGGGCTTGCAGTGCCCCGGCACACCATGGGTGGGCCTTCTCTCCCATGGCGATGAGGCTATCTACAAGGCTTCCTAGGCCATCAGCCTCTCCTTTCGGCTCGCCTGGACTTTAGGGATCAGGGACTGACGATGCTCCCCTCATTACATTCCCTCTAACAATGCCAGAATGCAATTCCCCTGTGCTATTTTACTGGAGAAGAGAGATACTTCCTCTATGGACCTGTCTCAGACGGTTGATCCCGGTGAGCCCCTCAGTCAGCAGCTCTATGGAGTGCTGTAGGCACTGACCACGTGCCACTTGCTCTGCTGGGAAAACAGCAGGTCCCAGGTCTGCTCTGAGGTCCAGAACGGGATGCTGGCACTATGCGTACCAATGGTGACCCTGCTGCGGCCATGCTGCTGGGGCTGAGCTGCACTCACTGCTCTGCATTTGGGCCTTGTGCATTTCTCATGACCCTGTTGTACTTCCCACAGTCTGCGATCCGCCTTTTTGCTTTCTTTCTTTTCTTTTTTCTTTTTTTTAATGTTTTATTTTGGCTTCTCTGCTACTGTTCAAGCGTGCAGTGTTCTTAAATAGCCTTTTTTTTTTTTTTCTCACAGCATCTGCTTTGTCCCTAAGCATTTTCCCCTGGGCCTGTAACCGACTCTGACATTCCTAAGACTTCACACATAAGAAGGCAATCTCCTTCTGACTGCCCTGATGCCAGCAGGCTCACCTGCAGAGGCCCTGCTGCCTAGCTCAAGGCACAGCAATGCAATGTTTCCCAGCTCATTAACTCCCTAAAATACTGCACGCAGACTGCAGAGCTCCTGCTTTCCACTAGAAGCACTGTGGGAATGCAACCTTCTGTCACATACGGTGATAACACTGTCACCCTGCCACCTGGCTTGCAATGAAGGGCTCAGAGACCCCTGTTCTGTCCACACCTAACCTGCAAAGTTGGAGTCTAAACACCAAAAGAGCAACATTGTGGAGGAAGAAACAGTGCAGATCACCCTCGCTGTTAACTACTCACCACTGTGTAAACCAAGAGAGAACAGACCCTTGAGATTTCCTGTCACAGGGCAGCAAAAGCTGCATCTGTCTCTATTTCTGATAAAACCTGAGGCACAGAAACCTCTCGTATATGCATTTCTGGGATTAAAACTCCAGATGTGCAGATGAAGATGCTGTGAGCATCTCCTGTTTCCCACCTGGGACGTGCTGGTTTGTGTTTGGCTTCATCTGCCTGGCTGCCTCTCAGCCCTGTCTGCTGCTGTGTGCCTGCAGTGCCTCAGGACTGCAGTACAGCTGCAGTCTGTCTGTCTATCCGTGTGAATCACCAGTGGGTATTTTGGGCAGCCTCCTCCAGTCTGCAGCAAAGGCTGATGCTGGCTGCCCACGCAGTAGCATGGTGAAAAAGATGGGGGAGAATAGGCTGTGCCATGGAAATGGCTGAGTGCTCCCTAAATCTCACCATTCCTGTGTTCTGACTTGAGCAACAGCCTGGAGGCTTCAGTGAATTGGAGGGAATGGCTCTGAGGTGAAGGAGGGAATATGGCTGCCAAGAAATCAAAAATCTTGGCATTGAATGACTTCAGAACTACAGTCCCAGAGGGCTAGCTGTAGGGTTGTGTACATCCCACAGTCCTACAGAAGCCCCATGGCATCCTTTTCACTTTCCCTAAGGAGCTAAATTCCAGTACTACCTTAAAAGAGTTGAGGTTTAAATTTCAAAGTAGTGTGGACACTACTACTGCTGTGGTTGTGACAAAAAAAGAAAGGTTTTCTCAACCTAACTGCAGCTGCTGCTCTTTCTGGGCTTAGCTCTTTGGATGGCAGCATGATAGGACATGGATCTAGACAGATACTGCTTTGTCTTGTTGAGAGGAGACAGGGGATGAAAGCAGAAAACTGTCCCTGCCCTCCTTAGGTCCCAAGGTAGAGAAGGTCTAAAAAGTGGAATAAACGCAGAAGAATTTTATGGCAAGGGAGGGTGACAGAGCACTGGAACAGGTTGCCCAGAGAGTTTGTGGAGTCTCCTTCTATGGAGATATTCCAGACCCATCTGGACCTTTACCTGGCAACCTATTGTAGGGTACTGCTTTAGCAGGGGGGTTGGACTCGATGATTGCTTGAGTCCCTTCCAACCCTGCAATTTTGTGATTCTGTGAAATTCGTCCCTGACACAGATCTCTGTAACTCAGTGACATTGAAGCACTCAGCCAAAATTAATCAGTGATGCCTCAGGAGATTACGGTCATTTTGAAACAAGGTGGCTGCACATTAACGTGCAGTACCTGAGTAGTAGACTTGCTTACTCTTTCCTAGGAGCCATACAGACTTTTGAAGGCACATCTTTGTCAGAGGAGGAAAGTTCTCCAGAGTGGCAATCACAGAATGGAGTCACTGAAGCTCTGCTGGTGCAATGTAGGAACTTCCTTGTACACCAAAGCAGTACAATTTATGTGCACCACTGCCTGGTTTACTCTTATTTGTACATACTATAAACTCATATATTACAGAAACAACACCTCACTGAAGCGGAGCATCAGAATCTCACTCCTTTCCAGTCTGTAAAATTGGACATGAAATCTCATTTCAAAGTCATCATGTTGGTAGTGACGTAGTTCATTGCTAACAAGAAATCTGAACAGGTCATGTTCTCTCTTAGTGATTCATTAGAAGGCAGAACGACAGTTAACTTGACTAAAGGAAAGCTCAGGATGCACAAGAAATACACATGTGCAGCATATTCACAGCTCATGTGAACACCAGACTCACACCAATACACAACATGGCAGCTTCATGCACAAATAACTAGGCTGGGCTTGGAGAGAGAACTTGTGATCAGGGGAAAGAGAATAAAGGAGTGTGTTAGAAAGAGTGTCACAGAAGCTGGGAGGGTGGTCTGTATTTTCGGTCTTACCATAGAGGAAGAGCATTGGGTATTTTCAGCTGGCTTTAAAGAAAGGCAGACAGAAATAAGCTGTAATAAGTCTTCAATCAAGAGCCCTAGTAAACTAGGTCTTGGCTAACACAGGAGCAACAAAATGGCAGAAAGGGCAAAAAGGAGTGTGAAAGTAATGCACAAGAGGCTGGGCTCGTTCCTTAGAATGTCCAGGATCAAAGCTGGCCATGGCAGAAGTAGGTACAGCTCCCATTGAATTCAACAATGTGAGCTGCATCCACTAACACCACATGTAAATTTGACCTGTTGTTTCCTCAGTGCTAGACATCCCAGAATCCAGGCAGGCGAGGTATAGATATTGTTAAAATGTTCTTGCATCACCACAGCCAAGTTGGGTACAAGGCTAGATTCAGTTCCTTAGCCCAGATCCAGCAATGACTGCATAGGGAGCAGCCAGCTTCTAGTGCATCAGTCTAACTAAATCCACAACATCCCAGTGGTAAAGCAAAGTTCTCTATTCATATACTCCCATTCCCCTACTCATAGTTCTGGATGATTACATTGTTCTTACTAAGCAAATGGGCTGGGACAGTGCAATCAGCTCTTGACAACCCTAAATGCCTATGCTTGCTGATTAGGAAAGCAGATTAGTAAGGCTGGTTAGCTTGCTCTACCCTTCACCCACCTCAGCAAAGCTGCAGCACCCATCGGATGCATCCTTTGAAGCCAAGCTCAGCTGAGCTGAGCCCCAGTCCTCCCTGGAAGAGTGTAGTTGCTGCAAACACTCTTCCTGACACCTCTTGATTAACTCCTGGGGCCATTTCCAATACTGAAAGCAATTCTAAAAAACACTCAAGGCAGCAGCTACCCTTACGTGTAAGAAGCAGAATTAAAAATTAAATTAAGGCAACGTTATCAGGAATCCTTTGGTGCAAGGGCGGTATAACCCTTCAGACTCAAATCTCTGCCATATGCTCCACATGTCAAGCCTATCTTACATTGCTCCTTTTAACTATGCTACCAAAGCTGAAACTGATGGACTTTCTCTGCCAATGGCAAAATTCACCTCTAGTGCCAAATCAGTGTGCTTCTACTCTCCAAGGACACTGTACTAACAAAACTGTCACTGTATTACCTAAATAAACTCTATTTTGGATGCTCCGACTATTTGGTGATATAGGCAAATGAGATGAATTAAAAAGCCAAGCTATACCTGATCATGCAATATTCTTTTGGGTTAACTCGCTGGTTTGGTAGGGACAGTTTTCATTGTTTTTCTCCTCCTCTTTCACGTTTGCTTGTGTTTTCAGATCACATATACAGGCAAATGTTGGCTTGAATGCCAAATAAGGGAGCACTGCCCATGGGAACGTTTCATACAGCCCAGGCAGAGATTTTGATTTTGTGTTGCTGGGCAAATCTCTCCTTTCCAGCAGTGCTTTTATCTGTACCACCCCCTTTTCTGCTATCCGTTTTGCAAATCATCTTTTCCAGCAACAGGAGCCTTATTCTGCAGGTTACTGCTTTCCTGGTAGAAGGTACAAAGCTCCTCCAAACTGGCTGAAGGAAGTAAAAAAATTTTCAGCACCTTTCAGGATTTTCCATCCTTCCTAGCTGACAGCGGCAGTGTATCTCTGATTGTCTGTCTGAAGAAGCCTTGTAAGTTACTGTGGAATAATGTGACTTAATTGTCAGTTTGATATTTTTAGTGCTTCATCAGAAAGTGAGGAAAATAGTTATGTAACAGTAAACAGTCTGTATAAAAGGATATGACTGTAACAAGCTAAGATGACACTGTTCAACTTAGAGGAAGCTGGCGACATGTTGGAGAACTAGGGACCAGAGGCTCTGAGTATCCTTGTCACTAAGATAGTGGAGCAGAGTTTGACTTACTTCTCTTTTATTCCTTTAAGTAACTGGCCTATGTTTTAAGATGGAGTCAAATATGGAACATAGTGTATCTCTACCTACAATAAACACTCAAAAGCAGCGCAGGAAAGTTTCCATTAATGCTGGCAGGTGATACCTGTACAAACTAGCAAAATGGGCTGAGGCTCTTGATATGCTTGTACTCTGTGGTATTTTCTGCTGAGGTATATAGGGGCAGAATCAATCCTCAGCTTGAGAGGGGAAACAAATACTACCATTTTCCATGGATGCCAAAGAGTCACCATATGGACCTGAGCAGGGATACCTGAGAACCTGTTACTGTAACTTTTAAAGTTTGGCCATTCCTAATGATAATGCAGAAAGATATCGCTAGATTGTCTGAGAATCTGTAACCTTGCAAATGATGAGAGCATGCCAATTTAAGGACAAAGACAAGCACCTGGCACCTGAGAATGAAGGATGGAGACATGATGATAGGTACTTGGAATTAAAGTCAGTGTTGAATGCCCAGTTAAAGCAGACGATTTTATTTCTGCATATTTCAGAACAAAGTATAACAGCAAATCTTCAGCTGTTTTTTACTTTTGAAGGAGGTTTTGGATAAGCAACACCATGCAACAAAAGGCAGCCTTGGCTGAACTCTTTTGAAGCCATCTCTTCCTCTGCTTAAGGTCTAACCTGCAAAGGAACTTTGCTCTATTCTACCTTGCTCTTGTCATTTGGGGGACAAGTACTATGCAGTAACTGAATCAGAAAGGGAAACAACAATAACAGTAAGATCAGCCAAGAGATGATGTTCTGAGCAACTTCAATCACACAGAAAAGAGACCTCAAGTATAAGTCACAAGCAAGGCCAGAGACACAGTATAGGAGTGATACAAAAAGGAATCTGCAGGTTAAGAGGTGCAAGAGATACATCTGAGGCAGGATACTTCCATGTAAAGGCACTCAATTGGGATAAATGCACAGAGCTGATTGGCCCATCCCTTTTATTATTATTATTATTTAAATTTATTCTTGACGTTAACATATTTAAAAAGGTAGCAGATGTCAAGGAGCAGAAAAGGTCAAAAAATAGAGAGGCAGGTACTAGAAGTTAACATAAAGATTCACTAGGATAAAGATGGAGATCCCCGAAACATGGCTGGAAAATTCCTCAGAATTTTGCTGCCTGGATGTATGCTATTTTAACCATGTTTAGTGTGTGTCAGCACACATGGAAACACTGCTTGAGCTGCTGCCCACCTGTATTCATCCTTAAAGACCCTATGAGCCCCAAAATAAAAGGCACAGCTTGTATCCATTACGATTCAAGATCCCAGGTAGGAAGGTTCCCAGGAAGGAAGGCATGAGTACTCAACACAGAGATACTTAAAATCTCAGAGGACACAGCTCAGAATAAGGTAACTGTTCTGTCTTCCTGCCAGTCCTGCCCTCTGGTTAATCAATACTGCTCCACCTGGCTAGGTGGGAGTGGGCCAGAATCTCCTAAACATACATGCTGACTCACATTTGAATCATATCTGATCGTGCCACCAAGTTAAGGAAATATCGCTTGTAAGAGGAATGTTATGTTTAGGGGTTTTCCAGATGCTGAATCCAACATGCTTCGTAAACTAGGAGAGGATAAATTTTGGGAGAACCAGTTTCAGTGTTTTAAGGACATTGTATAACAGTCAATACTGTACTACAAAATGCTGCCCATCTTGAAATTCTGAAAATTTTGGAGAGAGAATGACTTGGCCCTAAAGAGCTGTAAGAACAGAAGCCAAAATGTGAGCAAAAAGACTAAAGGCTTTATACCATCACAGTAGTACTGAAGACCCTTGAAAGAGCCCTGGCTTCGAATATTTTCTTATACACAGAGATTAAGAAGAAAATAATAAGGCAAGCTAATAAATTCAAATGAAAGTTTCAGTAGAAAAATCCTGAGAAGAGGCATCAATCCCTCTTTGTCCCTGTGGAACACTAGTGATAGAGGACCACTTTGAGAAGTTTGAGCTACCTGGTTCTTTTTGGCTGGTTTTCTGACAACTACAAGGGTTATTCAGAGAAATTAGCACCTAGAAACAGGGGAATTCCATTAGGATAATGCATCATATAGTGAATAGTAAATCCAAGGAGGCTCCATAACTGCTGGGTAGGTAAGTTTCAGTACTTGTAGAAGTCAGATTATTCCTGGGATGACAGCACAGGCAGGTGGCATTCCCATTACTGGTACTGTTGACGGTAGTCATTTTTTACACTATAGGATACACTGAAGCTCTAATCCGTGTTAGGAAGTCCAAGCTGAGTTTCTCCCTGCCTTTGAGAAGTGAAACTTTTTACTTTCCAGCAAGCCATGTTCTGTTTGTAGGAAGGAAGCTAGTTTTGTAGTCCTTCGCAAGGCAGAATGCAGCCTGGCTTGATAGGAAGAACTGGGAATCAGCTTAATGCACACAGTTATTGGTGTTTTGTTAGGTAGAGCTGTCTCAGTTAACACAATGTTGTACTGGCCACATTCTAAGTTAGCCTGGTAGCCTTAGTTTTGAAGAGATGAGAGGAAATCCGAGACTTTAGCACCGTGACATCTTGGTATTTCTCACAAAATCAAACTGGTCAGATACTTATATTACCTTATGTGACTAAGAATCACTAATGGGATTTTTCCACTGGGGAAAACATAGCTTGTGTATGAAGCTCTTAAGAGACCACTCGGAGTAGCTGGTTGCCAGTGATGAATGTCCACTGGTTCTTTGATTGCTGTTGATGATCAGGGAATGAAAAGTTACCCATGAAAATGCCGTATCTGCTGGAAACTTGTCTGCTGGTTCTCCCATGATGAAGGGGGTGATAAATCACCACTTGCTTTGTATTCCATATTCCAGCACGGATGCCTCTGAGAATCTGTACTGCAGAGTTCACCTCAGCTGGTAGCAGTGCTGTGTAATTAATTTGCAGTTCTAGAATATTGGTCCTCTTGAGCTCAAGGCTTGAATTTTGAAGTCCTCCAAGACTGTGGTCTACTTCAGCAACACTGCATTTGTAACATTCTTAGGCACAAAATGATGGTGGAAAGAGACATTCTGGGAAAATTACCTCACCATACAAATATAATTAGGATTCAGAAGGGAATTAAATTAAAAGTAGTTTAATAAGGGATACCAGGTGGGCAACAGTGC